TGATTTCTTGCAGTATCTAGGATCAAATTTTTCTGAGCCTGGAGATTTTAGCTCATTTAAAGAAAGTAGATGCTCTGTTACTATCTTTCTCACCCACTCTGGGCTCTAATTCTTAAATATGTTTTCCTACCTTTACCAATTTGAAGATTCCTTTATATGGTGGAAAAAGTAGAAGCAAAATTATGTGACAAGTGACACCTTTTTCTCTTTTTACTCCCCTTAGACTTTTTCAGATGCCTTATCTTATTCAAGAATTGAACTGTTCTGACTGTTATCACCATTTAATGTTACTGTTTTCTGTTCATCTATGCTTGTATACCCTTCTATCTTCTGAACATTTCTTATTCTAATTTCTGTTACCCACAGTGCCTGAGTGTCCTACTTAAATCCGAACTACTTGGAAAGCTCCAAGTTTCCAAGTACAGCCATGAGCATAACCATGCCTTGGACTTCCTCATTGAGTTCTTCCTCCTCTAAGACTTTTTACTCTAAAATACCCTATGACCAGCACTTCTCACCTTTCACCTATCTCACTGCCTCACTTCTGCTGAACTTGCTCAAGTTCAAATAGTTTTGGTCCTCAGAAAAGATTAGTAGGTGCCCATGACCTAAAATTGTATAGAAGTCAGGTCAGAAGTGACGGGAAACTCTCAAGAGTCAAAATCTGAAAACACACACACACACACACACACACACACACACACACACACACACATTTATATGAGGAAGAAAAGGAGGAGTCATTTCAAGAGAATGACATGAATGTATAAGAATCTCACTGATGAATTTAGACTCTTTTTTAAAGACACAGAAGATGGAAACATGTACAAACAACATAGCACAAATCCAAATCATTTTGCTTTTCTCTGCCAAGGATAATTATCTTGGACTGAAAAAAAAATGGGAAAAATGGCTAATAGGGAATTGAAATCCAGAATAACTAAGGAGATAATAAGAGAAAAACTAATTACCGTTAAGGAATTCACTTTACCTTCATTCTAGGATAATGAATTGGCTATTATGATTTTGTGCCATTGTCAGGGACCTTTGAAAGATCATAGAGAAGACATACAGGACTGGAACAGGGTAAATTTCCCAATTTTCGAAGAAAGGGAAGAGAATGGAGTCTGCCAATTATAGACTTGAGATTCCTGACAAAATTCTAGGGTGTTACATTAAACAAATATTTACTGAATGTATCTCATTAGCAGTCAAATAAAACACTTAGGTCTTTTTCATGAATGAACTGCTGGAAATAAACATCTTCCCCCCCATTCCATTCTATATCTGTGTAATTGATCTTTTTTTTAAGAGCCATACTTTACATTTATCCATGGTAAATTATGGCTTATCTGGTCTTATCTGGTTCCTGCCTAGTGGAGTCTTTTAAAATCTCAGTTCTCTCATTCAGTATATTAGTGATTAGATTTTAGTAAATCTTTGTAAAACAAAATAGAGAGTTAGATAATTAGATTATCTAATTAATTCGATTCAATTCAATAAACATGTATTAAATGCCTACAATATATTGCCTAATTAGAATTAAGTAGATTTCAAACTGGTAGAATAATTCAATCCAAATAGCAGTCATTAATGAGTTTATGTTATTTTGGAGTGAGATCTCTAAGGGAGTGCCCTTGCTTTCATCATTGACTAAAATAAAGGTGTACTTATTAAGTTTACATGTGACATAAAGCTTCAATGGCCAAAAAATTGGGCGACAGAATCAGGATCCAGGAAAATCTTGACAGGTCAGACATAATAGAGATAGACGTAAGGTCCTAAACTTGAGTTAGTGAAATGTTTAACATTTATCATGATACTCTTCAGAACATTTTTTTTTTAAGTTTTCCTGAGCCTATTAGTACTGGTTTGAAGTAGTCCTTTGTATTCAACCTTTATTTTATGTCTGTTTTTCCACCTTTTCTACTTATGGGATCATATGTTTAGAGTTGGAAGAGACCTTTGAGAACATTTACACCAGCCTTCTCATTTTGCAAATGATGAATCTGAATTTTGAAGAGTTTAAGTGAGATGTGCAAAGTTGCACAAGTTACTACTTGTAGCAGAGTAGCAGAGACAGGATTTGAATACAGGTCTTCTGTCCTTCAGTCCAGTGACCTTTCCACTGTAGTATGGTGCCCTCTTTATGCTTCATTGCTCTTCCTATTATACTATTTGTCCTCTCAAATCTAACCTCATCATAAAACTTTCTAGGTAACTTTACTGCTCTCTTTAGATGCTTCCAAATATTTTTCCCCTTATTCAGCTTGTTTACAATTATAAAATCAGAATTTTGCTTTTGAGACTTTCATTCTGTTAAAAACTCTTAACCAGTCTCTCCTCTCTCCAATCCATCTTTTACACAACTGTCAAAAGGACCATCCTAATATGTGTCAGGCCGTATCACTCCCCTCTCAGAAGCCTTCAATGGTTCACCATCCCTTACAGGATAAAGTCCAAATCCATGACCCTTCACATTCTAGCTCCAGTGTACTTTTTCAGTTTTCTTTCATTCTCTGAATTCCAGGTAAGTTTTTTTCCCCTCATCTAGTCTTGCACTTTTCCAGCTTCTGGAATTCATGCAGTCTCTCATTCCTTTTTCATCTCATCTTACTGAAATATTCCTTTTTCCAAGGTTCAGCTCAGATACCACCTCCTCCATAAAGTCTAACCTGATCCAATCCAAAGTGATCTCTTCCTGCTCAAATTTTCCTAGTGTACTTCATCTATGATTTTACCCTATTGTACTTGTATCATATTTAATTGTGCATTTTCATCCTGCTAACCAAGTAGATTCTAAACTTTACAACCATGTCAATTTTTCATTATTTGTAACTAACACCCAACACAGAGTGGGTACTTAAGAAAATTGCATTGAATTAACTGTGAGTTTTTAGCCATCTTTCCTCTGAACTTTTAGAGATTTGCTTTATTAAAGTGTAGGATAAAGATATTTTGATGCTGATTGGTCACTTTCATGGCCATTATAAATTCTTAGATGACTTGATCATTGCCTCTTCTGTCTCTTCTTCATCCTCAACCACTTTTTCCTTGTTGGTCAGAGGAGTCCAAAGTAAGAGGTCCCTTTATGGCTTTCTTCCCACTTTCTGGAAAATGAAATTGTCATCAAGGAAGGTGCCATTTTCTTATTCTCCAAGTAAAGATAATCAAAAGCAAAAACTTCACCAGCTTCTATGTATGTAATTTAACCATTCCCCAATCAATTCTTTTCTACTGTGCCTCTAGTTTTTTGCTATTAAAAAAGGGGGGCTATTATAAAATACTGTGGTGACTTTTCTTTTTAACTTTTACCTCCTTGGGGCATATGCCTAGCAATAAAATTGGTTGGTTGAATTGTTCTGACATTTTAGTCACTTTCTTCGTATAATTCCAAATTGTTTTCCAGAATAGTTAGGCCACCAACAGTACATTAGTATGGCACATTTATTTTCTTTTTCTTAATATTTTTATGGCACATTTATTTTTGAGCAGCAGCAAACATTTATTGGGTGTCTGCTTTGTACCAGACACTGTCCTAGGTGCTGAGGTGATTACAAATAACTACAAAATATGACTCATTCTCAAGAAGCATAAAGTTAGTACAGGGATATAAGCTGTGTACATGTACAAAGACAACTAACAATACAAAACAGTAAATCATAAATGGCAAATGAAGGTCTCTTCTAGTTAGAGCTATAGGACTTTCAGTGGAGAGAGAAATTACTTCCAGTTGCCATGCTATTAGAAGCCTTCTTGCCTCCCTCATCTCCCCACCCCCACATTCCCCATGAAGGTATGGACTGGAGCTGAGCCTAAAAAGGTAAGAGGATATTACAAGTGAGAGAATTACTAGAGCCTTTGAGGCAAGAAAACAGGAATGTATATTAAACTTTGCATTGGTTTCCAGAAAATCTCTTAAAATGTGCAACAACTTCCTCATCATAAGTGTATTAGGATGTAGCAAGGATAGCTTGTTTATGGCTGAAACACCTGCAGAGTGAGCAGATTTGGATTTTGGGGATTTGGAGGGCTCCTTGGGTGAGAATGTCATAATCCATTGGCCATTGGTTACTGACCACATAGATTGTCAAGGATACGCAGGAGGGAGACAGGTCTCAAAGTTGCTTTTTAGGAGTTTAATTGTGGATAAGATAGTCATAAGTCTGCTACAGCTATATTCATCAATTTATTCCTTAGCAAATAATGGTGGGTAAAATTAGCAGACATCTGGAAGAGGCACATATTTCAAAGTTATTTTGGTCTGATTCTATAAAGCATAGTATGAAGAATATGATTGGTAGCTGGTCTTAATAAGCAGTGAGTTCTGCCTGCCTAAAATGCAAAACAGATGTATCTTTGTTCTTTTAAACTGACTTTGATGAATCAACTCTATGTGACGTCAGGTCCAAGCTATTGGGTGGCTGAGTCCGGCTCAGAAATATTTTAGAATATAAAAAAGTTTCCATTGTAGACACTGAGAGAACAAAGTGAATTCCAGCACATTGCTGTTAGCGTTGAAGCAGGTTCAGAAACTCAGAGGCCTCAATCCAAACTCTCACTATTGGTATTTTTCTAAGGAACTTTTTTTTAAGCCATTGCACTGAGCCATCCTCCTTTTTCCTCATCTGTGCACTTTTCAGAGTTGTCATTTAGAACCATCACTGTTGTGGGGGAGGGTTTGTTTGGATTATTTCTTTAAATGCTTCCAAAGAGATAAAGATAGGATTAATGCAGAAAAGAACAGCAGTATCTGAGGACCAAGTGATATTGTCTTTTTTTTTCCTATTTGAGCTGTTATGAATGATGCACATTTTTTCTTTATCATTAATATCTTGGCGTTGCTGTCCTTTTCTGGTAGACTGACCCATCAGTCAGTTTTGCACTGTAGTCCATGCATCAGGAAATCTGCTCACTCTGCAGGTGTTTCAGCCATAAACAAGCAGCAACCACAGCCTTCTCTTTCTTTTTACGGAAACCCTTTGGAATTTAACTTTCAGATACAAATACTTGGAGCAGTTGGCAACGGAGGAGTATGAGAAGGAGCTGAGAAGTCGGAGTACAAGCCGCGGCAGGACTGAGCTCTGCTTAGACTTGAGTGCTCCTGCTGCCCCGTCCTCTCCAGTCCCTAAGTGCATTAGCCCACCATCTCTGCCGTCCCGAGAGGAGCTTAAGGAAATTTCAGCATCCCAGGAAACAACCCAGCCTGTTGAAGGTGAGTCCAAAAAAGAATATAGGGAACTGAGTCATCTCACAATGATAATTTTCTTCACTTAGCTTAAGTCTTTTGTTTGGGCAGCAACAACCTGCTGTTCATATCTGTTCAGTACAAAATAATATTGAGATACCAAATAGGGATAAATTGAAGCCTGTCACGTAGATTTCTTCTACCTGCTTCGTCTTCCTTCATTTCCTTTACTCAGTTACATTCTGATGTCTTAGTAACTGCTAACTATTGATGATATATTGTAATGTGGGATATCTGAAAAGAAAAACATCGTATGGAGCTAGATAGAACTTTGACATTTGATACTGAAGCTAGAAATAATTACAGATTATGGAATAATAATAAAACATCATCTTGTCCCATTGTTATGGAAAAAGGAACTTTCATTGCCAAGACTATAAGGACAGGACTATCTAAGCAGGCTAAATTATTCTAACTGAAGCTAAAATGAGTTGAATGTAGCACAGGAAAAAATGTTGATGTAGAGAAAAACAGAAGCCAAACAGCAAAGAAGAAAAAATGGTTTAAAAAAATTTTCCCTTTCAAAAATGTTACTATCATGTGGCATGCGTGTGCACATGTGCAGAATTTCCCTAAGGAAATTCTGGGTGTACTTTTTACTGTTTTTAGAGAAAATTGATTGCATGCTGTACACTGCAAACTTTGTTTCCCAATTATTTTCACTATTTCTAATGCATATTAAAAATAAGTTTTCATGCTTGCTTTTTGCCATCTAGTGTGGTCCCTGTGTACTGAATGGTTAATTAACAGTGAAATAACTATCACAGCTTTGTTTAATTGCACATTATAGTTTGAAGCTAGCTAACTAAAGAAAGCAGAGATAGTAAATCCATAACTCTAGAAGTGTTTCCTAAACATAATGTAATAAAATATGGTTTAGTTTAAGTCAAATGGCAGCTATACAACCTCAGAATTGAATGTACTCAAGAGATTCATTCTGTCTAATGTGTCCTTGTCTTTGTGACTGCTTAAGGAGCAGGGGCTTGGAAATACCATTTCAGCAAGCAGTAATAAATATTTTAGTACCATCTAAGACTACTTTGGTTCTATAGACAATGACTAGATTGAGAAAGTGTTGGCAGCCTCCTCTGAGATTAAAATTTTGGAAATTATGGCCATTTACCTAAAGATTTAATCTTCTAATGCTATTACATTGAATGTGAAGCAGGTACATTGTCCTTTCACAAACCTACACATTTGGGTCCCTGTTTTGAAGCATCATTCTATCACCTGGTCTTAATGGTGCCAACAGTTAGGGCAAAAGTACATTTGTCAGTAGCCAGTTAAAGAAATTCCACTGGGATGTTTCATTCTACTCTTTCAATCTATGCTGTGAACAAACAGTAATAGTAAGCTAACATTTATATAGTACTTTAAGTTTTGCAAAATACTTTACATATTTCATTTGATCCTCATAGCAGCCCTTTGAGATTGGTTTCATTATTATTTCCATTTTACAGATTGGAAAACAGACAAATTAAGTTACCTGCCCAGCATCATGTAGCTAGCAAGTAAGTGTCTGAGGCAGGATTTGAACTCAAGTCTTTTTGATACCAAGTCCAATCCACTGTGCCACCTAGGTGTCTTATTTGAGCCTGAGCAAAGGCAGCTTACTCCATCCTACCCGAGTAAGATGGCAATGTCTAAGACAAGCAAAAAGCATGTTCAACTATATGTTATTCAGTCATTTCAGTCGTGTCCAATTCTTTGTGACCCCATTTTGTGGCAAAGATACTGGAGTAGTTTGCCATTTCCTTCTCCAGCTCATTTTTCAGATGAAGAAACTGAGGCAAAGTGATCTCCCCAAGGTAACACAGTTAGTAAATGTCTGAGGTCAAATTTGAACTCAGGTCTTCCTGACTTCAGGTCTGGTACTCTGTCCACTGCGCCACCTTGCTGCCTGTTAAACTGTTAAAAGGTTGTAAAGGGTAAATTAGTGGTCCACATCAGCTCAGTAGACTAGCATGAAGCAATAGTCAAGACAAGATCGACAGGGTCCAAGAGTGTCCTTTCATCTCTCAGTTGAATGCTTAATATTGATACTTCCTTGTGTTGTAGCTACAAATATCTTCCTGTAGTCAAGCTTGGCCAGCTGCAGTTCATTTGACAGCCATCCCTGGAGGTCATGCAGTTAGAGAACACCAGTTCTATAGTAGACCTTGCCTTACAAATATGAAGATACTTATCAAATCTTTATAAGAAAACACAAAATACTTACTTTGTGTAACTTCCTAGTGAAACTTGAAGTAACGTCAAATTTTCGAGTTTGTTTTTATTATCCCCTTCACACCACTCTCTACCCTCAGAATAGAGTTAACCAAGAAGTTGTTTTGTCAAGAACAAACAGTAAGGCCTTTCTGGAATCTTTCCTGGAAATAGAATGCCTGAATCTAGGGAAAAGAAAGAATATTCAGAAGATCAAAACAGTATTGAACACAGTTAATGTCCTAAAGAATAATTTTTGATTTACAGGAGTATGTGAACTTTCCTCCATAGGCTGAATGAGTCCATTGGAAGTTAAAATAACTTTTGCTCTTCTTTGTATCCCTGTTAGCAGCTAATAAAGGTTCGTTGACTGACCGAGTGGCATGAATCTAGTTTATTCTCTTTATCCTCAATGCAAGAGTATTTGAGGATGGGGTAGAATTAGAATTACAGTGGGGTGGATTGGGACACTGAAGGAGCCACTAAGAATAATTTCCAGGGGCCTCTCTGAATCTGTGTGATCACTGCAGCAACACTGGAGATACTCCTAAAAGTTTTGGTCACTCCTGTTGGCAGGCTGTCTCTCTGCAGGCTTTTCTTCTATGTAATCCAGAGAAGATGTGCTGTTTGCCTTACAGACTTGTTGTGAGGAAATCGTTTTGTAAATCTTAATGTCCTTCATAAATGTGAATTGTTATTACTCTATTATAACAGGACTCTTTGTCAAATGGTAAAAAAAAAATGGAATTGATTAAATGTTCCTAATAATTAAATGTTCCACCACCATCAGATTGGGAAAAACGGAGTCATCCAAATCTTTGAACTACTGAAAACATCTGGTATTATGTAGACCAGATATCTAGATGACAGACTGAACTTTTTACTTTTTATCCAGACGTGTTGTCACTGAGGGATGGCACATGATCGTCTTACTACCCCACCTTCTAACTCCCTAAAGAAGAAAGTCCCAGTGGTGTACGTTTGCTGAGAGGGGAGGAGGGAGGGAGGAAAGGAGATCCCAGAACTGTCATTCAGAATATAAGCTCCTTTAGAAAACTCTCTCAAGTGTGTCACAAATTCCTGAAAATTCTTAAAAGAAACAACAGGCGGCACAGTAGATAGAGTGTTAGAGTGGTTCAGGAAGACTTGAGTTCAAATCCTATCGCAGAAGCTTATAAACTGGATATCCTGGGACAAATCACTTAACCTCTCTCAGCCTCAGTTTCCTCACATGTAAAATGGGTATAATAATAGTACCTACCTCCCAGAGTTGTTGTGAGGACAAAATGAGATAAACATATTGCTTGTTATTATTATCAGCAATAACAACAATAATAATGGCAGCAGGTGGTGCAGTGTATAGAATGAGGGGCCTAAAGCCAGGCAGACTCATCTTCCTGAATTCAAATCTAGCCTCAGACATTTACTAGCTGTGTGACCCTGGGCAAGTCACTTAACCCTCTTTGCCTCAGTTTCCTCATCTATAAAATGAGCTGGAGAAGGCAATGGCAAACCACTCCCGCATCTTTGCCAAGAAAACCACAGATGAGATCATGAAGAATCTGACATAACTGAAAAATGACTACACCAATAATGATGATGATGATGATGATGATGATGATAACGAAAACAACTATAACCCCCACTATATGTCTTAGAATCATATCTTCTTTAACCAGAGACCTTCCTAATCAGTATACTTTATCAGACAGTGGTGGTACTTGCTGTCCAGTCATAATTGTGATGTGTTCCTCAAGTTACTATTCAAGTTGTAGAGAGGAGTTTGCCCCCATTTGTTCAGATGGTCTGGTCTCCCTGGGTGCAGCAGCAAGCATTTTTCCAAAAAGCAGCCTTGAATTCAATGTCATGGTGTGTTTATATCGTCTCCAACCCAAATGAGGCTTCAACTTACAACTTTGATATCATCATCATCTTGTTCTACAACAAGCTGAACTACCCCACAAAACTTTAAGTACTTCCTTCTTCCATGTTACATACAGTTTCATGCAATTTCTGAGGCATGGAAATACATTTCGTTTATTCTTTTTTTTTTAATGAGGCAATTGGGGTTAAGTGACTTGCCCAAGGTCACACAGCTAGTACGTGTCAAGTGTTTGGTCTGAGGCCGGATTTGAACTCAGGTCCTCCTGACTTCAAGGTCGGTGCTCTATCCACTGTGCCACCTAGCTGCCCCTCATTTATTCTTTTGCTAGAGTTCTTAGCTCATTAGCATCAGAAGGACCTCAGAGATCACCTAGTGACAGTATCTTAGAACCTCAAAGACCAGGTAGGCCAACCTGTACCTGAATAAGAGCCCCTTCTGTCATCACACGCAACAGGTGCCTTCATTTTAATGATGAGAAAACTGACTGTTAGAGAAATTTAGCAGCTTGCTCAGAGCCACATAAGTTGAAGGAAGAGCCTGATGTCCTGCTCTGGTGCTCTTTTCTCTATGCCACAGATCTCTTTTAATTTCCTATTCTTCACTTACCCTGCCCTACACATTTAAAGGACTTTTCATCTTTGACCTTTCATCCTGTTATCATTAAATAATCACATGCTATTGAATTCATAGCCATGGAAGCTCTTAACCAGTTCACATTAGTCAAAGAAATAGGCACAGCTTTCAAATGGTGGCATCTTTCTTCAATCTGATTCTCATGGGAGTTATTCTAAAGATACAGAGGTAACTCCTTATATGTTCCTGTCAGTGCAGTTGACATACTAAAAGTAACAATTACATTGATGTCTTTCAGGATTAG